CGCCCGAGACCTCCACTGCTGCTCCGGAGCTAGTTTACACAGCTGCCGCGTGCCTCTAGTTTGTTTGCCAAGCTGCTGGGCGGCGCAGCCTGTACCCGGGTCTCTACTGGTCTCACCCCACACCCCGGCCTCACTTCCCCTGAGGCGCTTAATGACTGAGTGGACTGGGGTCCCGCGCCTACCCACCAAGGAGAGCGAGTGCTGCAAGCCCAGAGGGAAGCCTTCGGACTCTCGTTCATGCACCACTAGAAGCTACAGTATGGCGAGTGCGCGCTTCTCTCTTGGCCCAAGTCCCACACTCACATACCTGGATCCCAGCCATATTGCTCTGCCTTTCGCATTCACAAAAGGACAACCCCTTCCCTCCGCCCCAGACAGATAAGCCAGTACTCCCTGCAACAGACAGGCCCTCGCCCGTTATTTGCAAATGAGCGCGCGCATCTACCCTACTTCGTCCAGAGCTGCAAGCAAGGGGGAGTTTGTGCTTTCAGAAAGAGGCACGTTTTATATGCACAGGGGTATACAGTGTCCCCCAAACACGCACATAGACACACGCACAGCCATGCGCACGGATTCAGCCTCTCTCTTTTTTCTTAAGGAAAGCCTGGTTCTCGAGTCCATGCTGTCGGAGCTCGCGACACCTGGGCGGCGGGAAAAGATCCCAGCTCGGGCTGAAGGTGTGTAGAGTGGGCTGGAGGGTAGAGGCAGTAGGGGAGAAGAGAGGAAGCGCCACCACTCTCTGGGCCTCAGGCTAGATCGGCGCGGTGTGGTGGCTGTGACCCAAATTCGCCCACCGGCTGCTCCTGAGCCTCGCCGAAAGGGTGCATGGCAGAGGGCGAAGCCAGCTGTGGGATCCCTACAGCTGGTGCTTATCGCTTGTGCAGGTCAGAAAAGAGATCGGGGGTGTCTATCTAGGCCCTCCGGGTCTCATTTTCTGTTGGCAGGGCCCTGCTTGCTAGTCAAAGACAGGTTACCCTCCAGCACCTAGGCAATAGAAACTCGAGATAACACCCTTAAAAGAATCTCGACGCCAACTCGGGTGACTCTTGCTGGACCTGCAACCCTAGCAGACAGTGCTCAGAGGCTGCATGGGCCGGAGTCGCCCATACCCATCCCCCGGGAACGCTGTGCGACACGTAGAACGTGGCTGCGGGCTGTGGCAAACGCGAAGGGGGACAGGAGGACTCCCAGGACCTTCACAACCCCATATGTGAAAGCACTGCTCTCTAAGGGGTTCATCTATAATAGTGAGAAAGTCTTTCTGCTCCCAGAGTATTAGACTCGCTTTTGGATGCAACTAGGAACACCGAAGCAGCCTTCACTAGGAGGTCTTTCCTCTCAAAGCCCTGCAAATATGGAGGGACACTTCTGCGTCCCTCTCCCCAGTTCTGACCATGGAAAGGAGCTGCTGAATGGAAAGGCACAGCTAAAAGGCACTTCCCTAACTAATGTCACTGCCCTCTGCACGCCTCTTCCGGGACCTCTGCCACTGTGTCTAGGTCTGGCAGAGGGTGCAGCCCGCTCCAGGAGCTCCGGGCCACACCACTCTGCACTGGGCTCTGGGGATACTGAAATGTAGCTGGGGATCGTAGCGGGCGGGGGAAGAATAGAGTGAGAAAGAATGTCTGGAAGGCCCCATGCCCTAGCGCCCCAGGCTGCCTAGCCTTGACGAAATCCTCAGAGGCTCCCAGAGTCGGGAAAGCCGGCTGGGAGTGCTGGAGGATTTCGGTTTCGGTTTGACCTCTCCAGAGGGAGGCCACAAATGAATTTGGGAGGAACTTTGAACCCTTGGACTGAGGAGTCTCTCCAGAGACTCTGTCTGTCACCAGGACTTTTCTAAAGTGTTGGGACCTACAGCCGTGCTGCCACAGAGCGAGGGCACAATCCCTAGCTGTGCCATCAGCTCCAAAGACGTGCGCTGGGTGGCCCACATTCCGGCGCAGAGCTCCTGCCTGGGGTGAAGTTGGCTAAAGTTTCTCTAAAGGCCATGGAGACAAGAACCCTGCCGTCTGACAGCAAAGAATGCGCACCTGACCTAGAGTCCTAGCTTAACACGAATATACCTGGTTTCTTGCTTTGAATATCTTCTTGATGTTCTGATAGGATCGGCTATTTCAGCTCCGAGCACCCAGAATTATTTGACTTAATCTTCTTTCTCCTCTAGTGTCTTTGCACAGTATCTGGCACATAGTAGGCGCACAGCAAATGTTGGGTGAAGGAGAAGTGTGCAAGATGATGAATGAATGAACAGTTCTATGGTTTCATTACAGTAAGAGTCAGCAGTAAATTCTCAGCCAAGTTGAGTTGGGCTGCAGATCCAATTTAGATCAATTAGATGGAAAAGCAGATCTTGATCCAAAGATGCATCTTTCTTTTCTTTTCTCCTCCTCCT